CACAGATATTTAAGTATTATCTCTTGTGTCAAGTGATACGATTTTGCGAGTAATATTGAGATATGCCATTTTAGTGAAGTTGGTCGTTTCACAGCCATATGGATGTGCTCATATTCCTCTGGGTATCTGTTCTTTAACTTCTCTGATAACTCTAGCCTCATCTAGGCGTTACTAGTAGAGGGAAGGGGTTGGAAGTGAGCCTGGCAACCCCATCCGGTAAAAAATGAATAAAACCTCGGCTATAATTCCATTATGGGTAAATTTTTGTTTTCATAAAGTCTCACAGTGTTATACAGTAATGTTTACTGATGACGTTTCGAGCACAATTTATTGCTCATAATCACATCAAGACACTACTAACACGACTTCCTAACTTCATTTATATAGTTCCATTATTTTTCATCGCTTGATTTGATTGGCAGTAGTATTTTCCATATTTCAGGTATGAGTGATGACTCATTCCTATTGCCCCGACCGAAAGCTGCTACCTTGACGTGGTGGTCGGGCTTGAACACCGCAATGATCTATTCAAGCTATACTGGCTGAGACTCATGTCTCTTGAGGTCCTACCCTGCCAGGCAGGTTGTTTGGATAGTGGTTAAACAAAAAGCAGCTACCCAATCCAACATCATGATAAATACAAAATCACAAATTTTCATGCCGGATCGGCTGTGGCCCGGATTAACAACGACCGCGCTTCCTGCTGCCGTGTCACAGGGCAGGAGTGATTAATATGCTACTGAGGCACACAAAACAACAAAGAACAAACAGAAGCAGGCCGCATGTGACCGGCCCCGAGCAGTTGTCCCCTGGGCTCTGCGGCCACGCAACCAACTTCCACGGTGTGGGCAGCCGGGAAGTAACAATCGCCCTCACAATCCGAAACGCACGCGAAACCTCTCTAATCCTCACTCATCTTTGTCTTCATTTCTATCATCTTGCCTTCCTTCCACTGATGCAACTCCTCGGCTTGATAGCTCTCCACTCTGCATCCACTAAAACGATGGAAGCCAAAAAACCACCACCGACAGCCTCCTAGAGCCACGCCACCAATTTCATATAGGAGCATTTAATGTTAGGACACTTTGCCAAATAGGACAACAAGCATCACTAGCCAAGACCCTGGCATCCCGAGCCATTGATGTATGCTGTGTTTCAGAAACACGCATACAAGACCCAAGTGTGGTTATTCACCTAACCCCACCTGGCCAACATGTTGAATCTGCAAAATTCACCTCGAGGGTGTCAGGAGATGCCACAGCTAGCTCACGAGGATTAGCTGGTGTAGGGATAGCTCTGAGCACTAGGGCAGAAAAGACATTACTTTTTTTTTAATAATGGTAAAGCTTTATTTAAGACAGTATGCTAGTATACGGTACAAAAATTTTCAGCATATTTAGTTCCAAAGTACTTTTTTCTTCACACAGGATTCACATGTAAAGTAATAATCTGAAGTATATCTTCATTGGATGAATTGTACAGCGTTTACTTGGGAGAAAGTAAAATCATCGCGCAAGTTTATGTATAGGTCATTTGATATAACTGCAAGATTAAAACAACGATAAATCCAGATGAAATTAAGCATTTTGGAGGAAAGTAATTTCGGTAGCCCAATGATTTAAGCAGGCCGCCAGTAGATACTTGACTGGATCGCGGTAGATAGCCGAATGTGTACTGCCCGTCTGAACGGGTCAGTAAAAAGGAGAAAGGACTGCACTACTCGCCGATGCCTTTTCGTAATCTCCGCCTACGCCCCCACTGACTGCAGTTCAGATGAAACGAAGGATGAGTTCTACCAAAAGCTGTCTAGTTTGGTGAGAAAGGCTAAACGCTCAGACATAGTCGTTCTAGCTGGTGACTTTAACGCTCAAGTAGGGAAATTGTGTCAATCTGAGAAGGATGTCGGTGGCACCTATGGAGTTCCGTGCCAGCGAACCGACAACGGTGACCGTCTCCTACAGTTCTGTTCTGATAATCATTTGTTTCTTGTAAGCACTAACTTTAAACACAAGGAAAGACACTGTTTGACTTGGAGACCCCCTTCATCAAACCAACGCTGGACACAAATAGACCACATAGCAATAAGCTATCGTTGGCGTGGGTCGGTAGGAGATTGTCGCTCCTTCTGGAACACGTGTGTAGATACCGACCATGCACTGGTCCGCGCTCGTGTGGCTTACGACTGAACGGACGTAGGAAACAGCTGGCGGTAAAACCATCACGTCCCCAGCTCGATCAGGAAACTAAATCCGTATTTGAGGAAGAACTAGCTAAACACATATCTGTGTTCGACAGCTGTGCTCACCCTGAAGAAGCTTGGAAAAATATCCAGGCAGCCATAGATACAGCTGTAAATAAGGTAAACCCAAAGGTGAGTAAAAACCACTGGATCTCCACCGCCTCATCCGAACTGATAGATGCTAGAAGACTTATTCCGGCGAGCTCCGAATTCAATGAGGAGCGAAAGCTGCACAAAAGGAAACTTACGAAAAGTCTCCGCAAGGACCGTGAACAGTGGTGGGTGACAAAAGCCAAAGAGATGGAGAAAGCTTCGAGGATAGGCAACTATTTAGACTCATCAGGGAAACGGGTGGGAGAAGACAAATCATTAGTGAAACAATCTCGGAGAAAAATGGCACTATAATTAGCTCCCAGGATAGACGACTGGATCGTTGGAAAGAGCATTATGAGGAGCAGTTTAATTGGCCCACAGCCACGCTCAACCTTCCGAGCATCCAACACCTCCCTGAATGGGATATAGACACAGGTCCTCCATCCCTAACTGAGGTTACTAAAGCTGTCACCAATCTGAAACTAGGCAAAGCAGCGGGACCTGATGGAATGACTCCAGAGGTATTTAAGTACGGTGGAGACAGCTTACTGTCTGCATTAACTGAGGTACTAGGCAGCGTCTGGGAATCAGAAGAAGTCCCATCGGGTTGGTGTAAGTCACTGATTATCCCCATATACAAGAAGGGAGACAAGTCTTCCTGTGATAATCACAGAGGGATTAGCTTGACTAATATAGTATCTAAAGTCTTAGGCTCAATAATCATGCGTAGACTGAGTGGTGCTCGGGAGGCACAAACACGAGAGAGCCAGGCAGGCTTTAGACCAGGAAGAGGGTGTATTGATCATATCTTCACCCTCCGACAGATTCTAGAACATAGGCATTCCTACCGGCGTCCAACAGTCATTATATTTCTTGACCTAAAGGCAGCATTCGACTCTGTCGATCGGGAAGTTCTCTGGAGATGCTTGGCTGTAAAGGGAATTCCGAGAAAATATATTGCACTGATTAAGGCACTCTATTCGTACTCATACAGCCAGGTGAGGGCTTACGGCGAGCTGTCATCTGAAGTGGTGTCCGTCAAGGATGCCCATTATCCCCTTTTCTATTCAACTTCATCATAGATGTGTTAATGGACTTAACCCTAAGTGACTTCAGCGACTCAGGGATTGACTTGCTACCAGGGAATAATCTCGTTGACTTGGAATATGCAGACGATATAGTCCTTCTAGGCGAAGACGCTGACGAAATGCAGAGTCTTCTAAACACCTTGAGCTGCAATCTACGAATGTTTGGCATGCGATTCGCTCCCGCCAAATGCAAGATGATGTTACAGGACTGGACTACATCGACGCCTAGTTTAAAAATAGGAAGTGAAGTGGTAGAGCACGTTGACCGCTTCACTTATTTGGGAAGTACCATCAGCCCCAACGGGTTGATCTCTGACGAAATCTCAGCACGAATACAAGGGGCTCGTTTCGCATTTGTTAGTTTACGCCGACTCTGGCGTAGACGAGATGTTCGACTATCGACCAAAGGGCGGGTGTACTGCTCATCAGTCCGCTCCGTCCTCCTTTATGGCTGTGAGACCTGGCCACTGAGAGTGGAAGACATGAAAAGACTAGCTGTCTTTGATCATAGGTGCCTGCGCTCTATTTCCCGTGTAAAGTGGCATAATAAGGTGAGCAACATTGAGGTTAGGCGTCGAGTTCTAGGTAAACAGGGGAAATCAATCGACGAAGTCGTGAAGTTACAAAGACTGAGATGGTTAGGACATGTGTTACGTATGCCAAGCCATCGCCTCCCTCGACGAGCAATGTTAGCGGATATAGGGTCAGGCTGGAAAAAAGCTAGCGGCGGTCAAACAAAAACTTGGCACCAGTCAATGAAATCCACAACAGTTGGTCTAAGCCACGTAGGAAGGTGTAGACTCCCGTCCTCGGGACGGTAAAAATCTATGGTTGGAAACAATTGGTGACATGGCTCAAAATCGTTCTCAGTTGCGCAGATGTATCCACTACTTGTGATTTACGATTTGCAATGAAACTTTTTTGTTCTTCGTTATTACTCCTTTGTAGCGACTTGAACTGGTGCACATTTGTGCAAAGTTCTATGTCGAAAACTGACAGACAGACATTCTTATTGCATGTGTTTGGCGTAGACTCGATGAACAAAAATTCAGTAATCAAACAAATTATTTTAGGGATTCAGTTATGCCTCACATCTATTATCTTTAAATTCCAAGGTAAAATATACAGACAAACAGAAGGTGTAGCAATGGGATCACCAATATCCCCTATCGTAGCAGACATATTTATGGACAGCTAGGAAAATATGACTCTTAACACAACTTTTAATCCTACTCCAAAAATATGGTGGAGATATGTGGATGACACTTTCACAGTGTTAAAAACAGAACATATCTCTAACGTCTTGACACATATTAATTCACTAGTGGAGGGAATAAAATTCACATTTGAAGCGGAAAATGAACAAGTAGATTTAGCTATGTTAGATTGTAAAATAAAACGAATAGAAGGTAAACTACACACTAGTGTGTACAGAAAATCAACTCATTCTAATAGATATTTAGACATTAATTCGTCTCATCCGTTGACTGTTAAGGCAGGCTTAGTTAAGTGTTTAACAAACCGAGCAGTAGCACAAGAAAATACCTAAATAATGAACTAAAACAGATAGAAGATGCTTTGGTGTTAAGTAACTATCCTTTAAAATTTATTAGGAAGATCAAAAAAGGCCAAACGAAAAATAATTGTGAAACTATTAATAATAACATAAATAAGAAAGAATATAAGTCATCTACAGTTATACCATATAAAGAGGGGACATCTGAAACCTCGCGTAGGATTCTAAATAAAGGAGGAATTAGGGTGGCATTTCAACTTACAAACTCACTCAGGGACAAGCTGAGTAGGTTAAAGGACCCAGTTGACCCAATTAGACAAAATAATATAATTTACAAAATACCATGCAATGACTGTGAGCTACGTCAGCTACATAGGTCAAACTAGTAGGTCAGGGGTAGTCAGATTGTCGGAACATAAGAATTTAGCTAAGGTAAGAATGGTTGACCCCGAGAAGATAAGTAATTTAGAAAAAAGTTCAGCTATTGCACTTCACGCATTAACAAACAACCACACAATAAGGTGGTGGGAGAGGGTTAAAATTCTAAAATGTAATATAGGTTGGTGGAGAAAGAGAGATATTGATTACTGAATCCTTGTTCAGCGAGTCTACACCAAACACATGCAACAGGAATGAGTCATCACTCATACCTGAAATATGGGAAATACTACTGCCAATCAAATCAAGCGATGAAAAACAATGGAACTATATAAATGAAGTTAGGAAGTCGTGTTAGTAGTGTCTTGATATGATTATGAGCAGTAATAAATTGTGCTCGAAACGTCATCAGTAAACATTACTGTATAACACTGTGAGACTTTATGAAAACAAAAATTTACCCATAATGGAATTATACTCTACCAAAGTGCACAAGTTTTATTCTTATATCAAAACCTCGGCTAGTGAAACTTCAAGGCTGAAGTCCTATGTTCCAGTAGGAACGTAAAAAACAAAATAAATACTGATTGAACAATAATAATAGTAGGTCATGCGTCTACCGAACAAGAGTAAACTAAGAAGAGTTTGGTCAAATATGCATTAGATATAGGCAAATATGCATTTATGCAAATCACAAATGAACAAAACATCACCGTCCTCTACACCCGTCCCAATTCAGTATCATAAAGAATAAAAAGATTAACGTGTTCAACGATAGATAAATAAGTCAAGAGAACCAGATCAAAACAGCATATACAGAAGAAAAAAAAACAACAATATAAATTAGCAATGTTACTAAGGCATAAATACAGAACACCCTTTGTACAGCATTGAAAAAAAATCGTCACATCCTCTGACACATACATACACACACATATATATATACATATGATGGTTATATCTAGTTAGGATGATGGCAAAGTCCAAATAACTCTCTGTATGTGCATATATATCATAAATATAAAATCTGTTCTGCTATGTATTATTATTATTATTATGATTATTACTAAAAGTATTTGGCATGAATGATATATCAAACATGAAACGATGCTCACTATAATAATATATGTTGCAACAGTGACAATAACAGACAATCAATAGTGTATACCTGGCAGGATAAAATAGAGTTGCCCAATAATACGCTGATGACAATAGCTGTAAACACTGACACACACACACACACAAAATACAATGAGAATAAATGAAATGAAGGCTAGTGAAGGAGGAGAATCTTAGGCACGTACACACACGCCCACTCATACAGAAAAAAATTAGGCAAATGTACACAAGGCGCTTTTACAAGTATGTAATAATGAACAAATGAATGAAAATACTTTATTATAGTATTATAGTTTTAAGCGTTCCAACGGCATTATATAGGATAATTTAGACTCATCTGGAGTTTTTGCTGATTTGTTGTTCTTATTGTTGTTAGTTATGCATAAATTAGTTTTAGGTGATGTTGTCGTTAGTGTGAATGAACGACTCATTGCTACAGAAGTCTGATTAGCTGATTTTGTAAGCATATCTATTGATTCATTATTGTGATGATGATGATATGTCTGTGACAGAGGTTCAGCCATCTGTAAAGTGGAGATTTCAAAACAACAACAAAACATTAACCGTATATTATGTAAAAAATGTATAGTACTCAGTTATATATAATCTGAATATTATTATACTGTTATTATTGCTCCCTTGGGTTCCTAGTGGAACATACGGCTTCAACTGCACGTTTCCATTTGCTTCTGTCTTCTGCTGTACTTTTCACCTGCACCTATGTTAGTCCATACTCTTTCAACTCCTCAACTCTTCACACGATCTCCTCCATGTCACCCTTGCACTGACGTCCCACTCACCGCTTCCCTTTCGGCCTGGTTCCACTAGACCAATGGCCTGACGCGCGATGTCACCCAGCGGCGGTCTCCTCAGCGAGTATCCGATCCATCTCCACTTTCTCCTGCATATTTGTTGGTTGGCGATTGGTTCTTGTTTTGTTTGTTCCCAGCCATAGTTCCTTGTTGGTGATTCTTTCCGGTCATCTGAATACAGTTTGTTGAATTAGTGTTCACCCAACTACCGATCATCAAGATCAAGAATGCTAGTCCCATTTCACCTATTAAAGCTTGAACAATCAGTATCACCACCTGCAAAACACCTGTAATACCCTCTCAGAGATTTTAAGCACATAAGCTGTACTATCCCAGTTTATATATACAGACTCCAATCTTCTTCTTCTTAAACTACTGTAATGCAGGTAAGCGTTAATAGCTTTTGTCAGATAAGTCCTATTTACTGCCTTTACATTGATTGAAGCATTCTCACAAAAGTGAAAAGATAAATGTTCTGTGTTCATAACCCGTCTAGTGAATATGAAAAACTCATCTATGGGAGATGTAAAATCTTCATTTCAAACCTACAGGGTTTGTCGGCTCCAAAAAGAAATGAATGACACATGCACTTGTTTTGATCACCGGAGACCGCTGGAAAGCAACCCTTGGCATTGCTCTGCTGCCTTGTAGATCACACGTCAAGTCAGAAGCTCAGGGAGTGGTCCCTTAAGACAACTAGCTGCTTCGGTCTGCGTGTCTGGACAGTAGCGCAGCCCACGTACAAATCATCGGACAATAACCAATGGAAAAAATCTACTCGCATACAGAATTCCTTTTGTTGCTATGAAAATGCACCGTAAATATTTGCAACTATACAGCTTGAAAGAAGTAACACCCACCGCTGAATGCCTCCTCTTTAATAAGGTTTGATGGGGATTTTTATTTCTATATATTAACCCCTTTGTTTTATTTTTATCATCTTTACGGATTCTGATGTATTCACTTTAGTCAGGTTTTCGCTATTGCCTGAAATCTCAACCTTATTGGTATCGTTTCCAGTCACTAGTTAGCTGCCTTTAGAATGTCGACCTCCACTGTTGTGTTCAAGGTTGTCACACATCGATCCAAAGCGTGCGCAACAGTCTAACTAGAACCCTAGAAAGTTTCGCTGTCGATGTTTGCAGCACTTCATAAAACCCCATGAAAAATCTTATCAAAGTGCTTTGGTTGTCTTTTCTACCTGCACCCTTCAAGAGTCTATACCATATATACTTATCCGGGATTATATGACACTAACATCCAGCACTCAGTGTCAGTAGCACGTTACGAGCTAGATCTAAAGCCACGTTACTCGACTGGACCCCCATAAACAATCGTTTATATGCTATCAGCCCAGGAGGTTATACTAGAGTAAGAAGCGGCCAGCCACAGAAGTGTTGCCTGTTAGTCATTTCTCTCTGTGCACCGAGAGATGCAATTTGTTATGAGCTTTTTAAACACACACGTTTGTTGGGCTAACTGGAAACTTGAATGCACAGGTCTATGCTTAGAAAAGGGTCATTAAGGTAGTCAATGGACATTAGATGATCACATGTCAGACAATGGAAATTGCCTTCAGAGGATCAGTGCAGACAAGAACCTTTTCCAAGCCAGCACCAACTTTCAGTACAGAAACTGCCATACGCACTTTCCCACTCAGGCATAGACTCAAATAGATCAGCTACCAGCTACCATCGATGTACGTGTATGCAGGACTGATGATTCTTCCAGATATCTACTAACCCCTCATATAGAAATGGTGAACACTGACTTCACTAACAAGTTGCCATGAAAATGAGAAGGAAATTAGCGACATATAATCACGTCCCGTTAGAAAAACCAGTAGTTTCCTGTAAGTCTCTTGAGACAACTGGAAGCCTGTTGGTCCATTTCGGTGGATATCATGCACAGTGTGACCTGGGTAAGACTTTCAGGCACAAGATCAAACGGGCTGTGAAAGTTGATGGTCAGAACGTATTTGTGAAGTGGAATCAGAGGATGCATCTTTTCCAGCTTACAGCAGCAAAAACCATAGCGCTAGCATGAGTCTGTGAGGAAGATGATGTGCAATTAATAGTGTTCTCTGAGCAGGTTGGTTTAGTTGCGGAGCTTTCGTCGTCTTTCTGGACGGCATCTTCAGCGCAGTATTTAGCATAAAGTTAAATGATTTAAAAAAGGAAGATGATGTGCCGATTAGTAATCTTAACATAAACCACAAAACTTCAACTAAACTAACACAGAATCAACATGTTTATCAATTCCTATCGACTTACCAAGTCAGCTAGTGTTTTTGGTCGACCATGTCTATGCCGAAAACACGACGATGATGACTTCAGAGTGGAATCACCACTCACCATATGTTTTCTAACCTTGCGGTTAGTATTACCTTCATTTGAATCAGATGGTACATACGAAATTGCATTAGAGTTAGTTAATGTCTTCTTGTCATCATTACTGTTATCAAAATCTTTAGATATCTTTCTTGAATCTGAGATGGAACAACCATCATCAATAATGCGGTCACTAGTCAATGGAATAGAACAATGATGAGACGGTGATGACGACGTAAGTGTCATAACAATACCGACATGACTAGAAGTAGTAGGACTAGAGGTTGGTGCCGTTGCTGTTGTTGTAGTATACAATTTAATAAGTTCACTTAATATGTCCACGAAACTTGGTCTGTGATTTGGTTCACTCTGCCATGTACGTAACATAAGTGAGTATATTGTTGATGGACAATTTTCAGGTGATTTCATTCTATATCCAGATTCAATATGACGCAATACTTGATTAGCCATCTAAAATAATAATAATAACGCACTAAAGACGAAAAGTAAAAAAAAGACTTAATATTTCATCTACTAATAAATACATTCGTAAATCAAAAGCCAGTAAGCGCGCAAAGCGTACGAGAAAATAGAATTCCCTTGGACATAGTTGATGGCTTCCGAGAAACGTGAAACATAAGATATACACATGATTTGGCTGCACATTAAGTAGTAACTATTGTCATGTGTGTGTGTAGTCCTTGATCTCAGTGCAGACTGAATTCCATCAGACAAGTTTGCAATGTGGTTACACATGCTAGGCACATGTGGAGGCACACTGAATTGATGTTAGATTGTTGGAGATAATCATCGGTAGGGAGACCTAGACCTAGGTTTCGTGGTTGTTGGCACTGACCAGCCTGCAAGGCGCAATAACAATCTTGTAGGAGCTCAAGTCGTCTCTGGCATTCAAACCCACGTCATCCCACGTGGTCTTGCGGTTAGAGACGCAAAGTCATTCGATCTCGCAACTGACCTCTTGTAGGATTGTAATGAATACTTTCATTGGACACTTAGGATGGTGCGCACATTGCAAACTTGACTACTGATAGAATTTAGTCTAAACCAACATCAAGGGCTAGAAGAATGACACTGACCACCATTACCTAGTTACCGATTAAGGTATCCACTACAGTTCTGGTGAGTGTCACCAGGCACGAAACCTAGGTTCAAGATTTCCTTGCTGTACACAAACAAAACTGAACTGTATAGAACATCTGATAGAATCCGGACACCAAGCTGCACCCCAAACAAACTTCAAAGTCATCTTCCTAAAGGTGCACGAATCAGACTTCTTCAAACTGCAGAAGCAATGGCGATTCACCTGCTAAGCCCTGAACTCTGCATACAGAAGAGGTTCGTTCAATCACTGCACTTACAATGGACTTAATCTATCTTATTACCTGGAAAGTAAACTCTACCTAATCCTTTTATTCTATCTCTTCATTAGTATTATTTTGTCTTCTCAATTGTAATATTTTACATTTTCAACTTTCTTGTTCTCTACCCCCACCCGATTTAATTTCTACACCTCACTACCACTGTTACTGACCTGACCAACGCTCACTTTCTAGTCATTTATGTTATGTCATCCAACTTAATTGCTCAATTTCATTTCTAATTTAAATGGCATTATTATCTACCACACTTCTACTTAGTCTCTACCTCTAATTACCTCTGTTGCTACCCTGACCCAAGTTGAAACATTTTAGTCAATTATATTACGTCATCTAACTTACTAACTAACTCAATCTTACTTTAGTTGCTGTCCAATTAACCTTATTTCTATATTAGATCATTCTTTTATTACCTGATCAATTATGTAAACTTCACAAACCTCATGTACACACACACACACACACACAAATAATTATATATAAATGCGATTGTACAGCTATGTGAATGAATACGCCGGCGAAAAGAGTCTCTTCGCTGAACATCTTCTCTTTTTCAACTGCATATACATATATGAGCGGTCTACCCAATACTTCTTGCTACCGTGGCGGTAACTTTCCTTCGTTTTAACTCGTACAATAATAATTTGGTATTTAATCCATAATCATTCGGTCTCTGTTTTCTTCTTGTGCCTTCCTCCTTTCAAACACCCTAATTTTACAATAATTCCTTTTGAATATTTTGAATCTCCTACTCTTTTGGAAAAATAATCCTGTTTCCAAACGCTTATAGTTTTCTAATGGTAATCATTTCTAAGCGATACTCACCACTTGTTGCTTTTAGATTCCGTAATTCATTATATATATATATATATATATATATATATATATATATATATATATATATATATATATATATATATATATATATATATATATATATATATATATATATATATATAATTTCATAAGCTTTATTAGCAAGTGATATGAACAAATGACTTTACAGGCATATTTCCATAACCTTTTAGAACATGAAATTACTGCGCAGCCTTAAAGTTAAAGAAAATAAAAAAATATTCTTTGCTGACCGACCTACATAATATAATTTTCATTTCAATTTCAATACTATTGTAAAGAATTATTGATTTCTGTTACCGAATTCATTATTTAGTAGTACATAAACGTCAATAGAAAAGCTATATTGATTAAAGAATAGTGCAAATATTAAGACAATATAATAAAATTCGATTGAGAAATCATTTTACCAATATTCTGTACATATGATGACAGGTTATCCTTAATAATTTCAATAAAAAATTCAATGCATAAACATATACTATTATTTTCATATCACCTAAAAAAAATAATGATTATCACGACTGTTCCCTCAGGTTTCCAAGTATAACATGGTGAAACGGTAGAAGACGAAGATTTTGGTGAAGGAAAGGAATGTTTCTTTAGAAATTGATATCTCTATATAGCCAAATTATGCATACTCTATCTCTTCAACGCACTATTTCATGCTGTGGCCCATGTATTATTTGCCTTCTCTGAAATCTCCCTGTATCTCCCCGCTATATGATGTTTTTATGCCGATGAATGTCTCTTATATAGACTACTGATAAATTTTATCAGTAGCGCTCGTCACAATAGGACTTCAACTGCATATCTCCATTTCATCCTGTTCTCTGAAGTACCACCACCACTGCTCATAAGCTTTCATCTCCTCCTCACACGATGTCCTCCTCCACGTCACACTTGAACCCACACTCAAACTCACCGTTTCCAGTTTGGGTTCCACACGAGTGCCTGTGTGTGTGTGTGTGTGCGTATCCAGTCCATCTACATTTCCTTCGGCATAGTTGTTCGCCAACAGGACCTTATTCAGTAAGTTACAAGGATTCCTTGGTAATCATCATTTTTGGCCGGCCATCCGATATTCAATACGAAACGAAGGCAACTGTTGATAAAAGTCTACAGCAGACCTGTTTGAAATGTTTTTGGTGAGGCTACAAGTCTCTGAACATCAGTGTCGAAAACCTGCATATTGTTCTTCATGCTGAGCGGAGTACATTTCAACACTTTTTTTTTCAATGCTGGCCAACTGTGGCATCCTCATTTGTGCTCCCTGCAGTTGAAAAGAGGCTGTCTAGATAAGTTCACCTGAGGTAGTCCCTCTTAGTTAACTCTCCTGCCAACTTGTTGGTTTTCACCTGTATATCTTCCAGTTGCAGTAATATTAGACATAAATCATCGGAGAAATACATACAGATTTAGGGACTTTTTGTCTGTCCAACGTAAATCCATCTCGCTTACCACGATGTGCTACATGACCTAGTCCACCACAACCAAAAATATCATTGGCGATATTAATAAAAAAAATAACACTACTTGATGACAACAAATAATGTTCAGTGCGAAAATGAAACTCAACCACCAGCTGATTAGACGTTATAAAAAACTATCGACTATGATCGAAATATTCCCACATTGAGTCATAAGAAAAAAGCACAAATAGCGAAGAAAATTTTCTTTTCGACGATTCATTTTCATCGGCTGCACACATAGTAATTATAATTAACACAGAAATTTTTTGACCAATCAGATACTGGTAAACTTTGTCCTTGAAAATTCTACTACATAATGTGAGGTGTAAGAAGGGATGACTAATTGTAAGTTAGAAAGGAGACAGAAGTTGGCATGACCTAATAAGTGTGAGATAATGACTAATCAATAAGCTCGTGTCAAATGGACAGGAACTAGTGGAAAGACTATAAAGTAGTTTTGTATAAGATCTGTGAGAACAAGCAATGTTATTAATAAACAGTAATAGAGTGGTAATAAAATGTGGATGGTGGGAATAGTAATAATAATAAAACTATTAAGAACAGTAATAATAATGATAATAATAATAATAATAATAATAATAATAATAGTGAACTTACATATTAAAAGAGAGGAGCAAAATTATAGTAAGAAATTTACTCTGGCCAAGGTAGGGCCAGAGAATGTATGTATCGTTTTTGTATGCACAGGTCCGGTTTTAAGTCTCGAATACCTAATGCCTCAGCTATGTACAGATGTCGTATCCGGAGTCCTTTTGTACGATATTGAGGGAATCTGTGTACCACTGTGAAGCCTTCTTGTGGGGGTGCTCGATGTCCGGAGATTACAAGGTGTTCGAGGATTGAGCTGATGCTATTCTTCTTTTCTCCTCTGGCTAACCAAGCTGGGCAATGTTCCAGGATATGTTTGTGGACTTGACGTTGCGTACGGCCGATATACTTTGCTCCACAAGAGCAAGTGAATTGATAAATACACATTGAAGTGGCCAAAAGCGGTATCTTGTCCTTAACGTTAGACTGGATTAACTGTCTGCAGGAGAATGTTATACGTAAAGTAGGTGTTAGGAATGTCTTCTTCAGACTTTTTGAAAGGCGGTTTCTGAGAATTTCCGCTGCGATGTCACCTTTGAATTCTAAGTTCATGAAGAGAGTCTTCTTAGGAACCGTTGTGATATTTGATACCAGAGGCTTCTCCTTCATGTTTTTGTCGATGAATCTTGGAGGATACCCATTCTCTAGTAGGGTTTCACGCAACAAATTTAATTCTTTCTCTACCGTGTCTTCCGAGCAGATTTTTCTAATCCTTGAGCACAATGTACGTACCAAGTTTCTCTTTCGGATCAGTGGAACAAAGCTCTGGAAGTTGATAAACTGTCCAGTTCATGTTGGCTTACGGTATATCGATCTTTGGATCGTACAGTCGTGTCTTCTGGTGAGTAGTACATCGAGGAATGGAAACGAGCTGTTCGATTTGCGTTCTAAGGTGAATCTTATTGATGGATGAGCTGCGTTGAAGGTTTTCAGGAGAGAATCTGAATCACATTTTTCATCACAGATTATAAACATATCATATACGTATCTTTTCTATAAGTGCAGTTTACTTATCAAGGATATTGTTTTCAAGACTCACCATGAAACAGTCGACTAGGAGTGGACCGAGGGGAGCCCATGGCTACTCCATCTTTCTGTACATAGAACTGTTCATTGAATTTGAACTGGATGTTGAACGTACATCTGAGAAGAAGTTCCTTCAGGTAGTTTATGGGGAGAGGAACTTCTATGTTGTTGGTTTCGATGTAATTACAAATGAAGCATATTGTTTCACTTAGGGGGATACTTGTAAATAGAGAGGCGACATCTAGTGAGATCATTTGTCTTTCATACACGTTGACATCCTTCACTGAGTCGATGAAATCAAATGTATCTTTGAGGCTATATTTTGTCATATGTCTTTTAACTGGTTCGAGGATATCAGCTAGCCACTTCGCGATTCGGTGATATGGTGAGTTAACCATGTCTATGACCGTTCGAAGTGGGACATTCTCTTTATGCAATTTAGGCAGTTCATACAGTGTTGGAATAGTTGAACTGCATGGTTTTATTTGCTCATAAACCTTCGGTGTTATGACTGAATCTTCTTTCATTCTCTTCAGCAATTTTGTAAGTAGGTTTTCTGTTCTTTCGGTTGTGTCTTTCTGGTTGGGTGATTCAAAGAATTTGGTTTTGTCTGATAGTATATTTGTCAATTTCTCATTATAATCGGATCTATTCATCACTATAATCCCATTGCCCTTATCAGGACGGACGAGGATTATATCTCTATTTTCTTGAAGTTGTTTAAGTTGTCTTCTGTGTTCTTTGGTGATTGTGTTATTCACGGCCTACCACTACTGTGACATAATCTTTAACACAGTGACGAAGATTTGTGAGAATTATACTTAAATCACAGTCATCAAGGTCAGTGTGGAGTATAGTTCATTGATAAAACATACTGAATTGTCAGCCAGTATGTATGAGACAACTCTGTTCGATCTTAGATGTCTTTATCAAGCACTGGATATATGGTGGTTCACCCTAATGATACACACAGTAAGTGTTACACATAAAGGGATTAGAAAACTAAGCAAAATTTCTAAAATCTATATGTGTTTACCACAAAAAGTAAACAATTAAGACACATATGACATTAACATGATATGCACAGAACTGAAACTTATTAACATAACATAAATATAAATAACTATTATACCGCTGATCACCACCTTAAGAGTGATTCATGCGATTCATGTGACTGACAGATGATGAATCCAATTTTTTTCTCACTTAAAATAAGGCATGAATATATTAGTCAAGAAATATTGTTAGAATGGAAGTAGAAAGTAAAACATTAAAAAAATATGCAGATTCTCAGAGACACGTAATACACGGGATCCAAGCATGGTGGTTATCACAAACTGTTTCCAACCATTGGTTTCTACCGTCCAGAGGACCCCAACCAGTCAGGAAGTCTACATCTTCCTACGTGGCTTAAACCAACTGTTGTGGATTTCATTGACTGGTGAAGCCAAGTTTTTGTTTGACTGCCACTAGCTTTTTTCCAGCCTGACCCTATATCCGCTAACATTGATCGTCGAGGGAGGCGATGGCTTGGCATGCATGCGTAACACATGTCCTAACCATCTCAGTCTTTGTAACTTCACGACTTCGTCGACTGATTTCCCCTGTTTACTTAGAACTCGACGCCTAACTTCACACATATAGCAATCAAGAAAGCAAGCATGAAACTACATACTAGTGATGCATTGAAATGAGTGTTTGTATACCACTTCGATCTGGCTAGCAAACACTACTCACTGGTTGATATGTGTGGAATACAACTGCTCATTTCAGTCAGTCATCAGTAGTATGCAGTTTCATATATCAGGATATTCTTTGCTATTATTATTCATGAACACACTGACCTACGAATCACACAGTAAGTCCTACACAACGGCAGACCCACACTAATCGACTCGATTTCAGTGAACTGTAGTCTGTGTGCTATCCAATCCCATAGAGTAGTAATCATGCATTGACTAAGCAGAACTCGGGAGGAACAAACGAGGGAAAATCAAGTAGGCTTTAGACCAGGTAGAGGGTGCATAGATCATATCTTCACTCTTCGACAGATTCTCGAACATAGACACACTTTTCGGCGTCCAGCAATTGCCATATTTCTTGACTTGAAGGCGGCCTTCGACTCAGTGGATCGAAAGGTACTATGGGAATGTTTGACTGTGAAGGGAGTGCCAAGAAAGTACACTGCACTAATCAAGTCACTCTATTCAAACTCACGTAGTCGTGTAAGGGCTTCTGGGGAATTGTCATCTGAATTGATAACAACCAGTGGTGTCCGACAGGGATGTCCACTTTCCCCATTCCTGTTTAACTTCATCATAGATATGCTAATGGAAGTATCCTTAACTGAACGTAACGACTTAGGAATCGACTTGTTACCAGGGAATAGTCTTATGGACTTAGAATATGCAGATGACATAGTCCTGTTAAGGGAGGATTCTGACAAAACCCACCAGAGTCTTCAGAACACCTTGAGCAGCAATCTCCGTATGTTTGGCATGCGATTCACCTGCTCCTGTCAAATGTAAGATGCTGATACAGGACTGGACTACGTCAACTCTTAGCTTAGTGATAGGGAGTAGAGTGATAGAACATGTTAACGACTTCTCACCTATTTGGTAGGTTGTATCAGCACCAACAGACTGATTGGCAACGAAATCTCAGCACGGATCCAGAAAGCTCGAGCTGCTTTCTCCGACTTACACCATCTCTGGCGTAGGCGTGACATCCGGTTATCAACCAAGGGACGTGTTTACTGCTCACCAGTTCCCTCCGTCCTTCTCTATGGCTCTGAAACATGGCCAATACGAGTTGAAGAAATGAAAAGGTTGACTGCTTTCGATCATAGATGTCTGAGATCTCTTTCTCACGTTAGATGGTATAATAAGGTGTAAGTAATGTTGACGTTAGGCGTAGAGTGTTGGGCAAACAGGGTGGGGGAAATCAATCGACGAGGCTATAAATTTACATAGATTGAGATGGCTAGGTGACGTGGTGCGCATGCCTAACCATCGCCTCCCCCTACGGGAATTACTAACTAGCTGATATAGGTGCAGGTTGGAAAGGAGCAAGTAGTGGCCGAACAAAAACATGGCCTCATCAATCCATGAAATCCTTGACAGTTGAACTGAGTCAGGGAGGGAGAAAGATGCAGACTTCCAGGTTGAGGCCCTCAGGACTCTAAGAATCAATGGCTGGAGACAATAGGTGACATGGCTCAAAATCGTTGTCAATGGCCAGCGCAGATGTATTCAGTCTCTGGAATCTTTCATATTTCTTTCTACCACTACCCATTCTGTTTGGCTCTTATAGTTGTCAAACTCTATTGATTCTCTTCACTCATCTTCTTGTCTACCTTTGTGTGGTATTTGGAAGGTGGCAACTCGAACTCCTGCACTTTGGTTCCAAGTTCTATGTTGAATCCAGACAGACATGGAGTAGTAAAGAGAAGGATATATCGCGATACACGGACTAACTGCAGTTTGGATGAGGCAAAGCACAAGTTCTATCAGGGACTGTCTGGTCTGCTGAAAAAAGCAAAGCCCTTATAAATAGGTAGTACCATTAGAAGAGGGCGATTTCAATAACCGAGGATATTTTTAGGTACTTATGGAGTCCTTCTGGCTAAGAAACTAAAACAGATGATCAAATTTTACATTTTCGCTCAGATAATCACCGCTTTTTGAACAATAATAATTTTGAGCATACGAAACGATGTTGCCTAATGTTGCAATGGTTAACATAACATACATAACCCTGTATGAGTTATAGACGCAAGACTGCCTCACTGGCCATGCTCATCATTCCATTCATGTGTACATCAGCAACTGTGAACAGATGTCAAACATAAGCGGTTGAGAACTTCTACTTGTGTTCTTTACTCAAGGAGGAGTTAAATAAATGTTCATTTGAGCATGACAGATGAACTTCTCTCAAGGAAACCAAGCGAAGTGTGCAAACAACTGTAGAAACAGTCGAAAGTCGGTAAAAGCCAGAAAATTCTACCCAGCATCATGTCAACTGATACGTGTGTAAGTAGATTATTCCTGACAGGCTCCAAACACGACAAATATAGAAAGTTACTTAAATTTAAGCTAATTAGAAGTCTTTGTAATGACCGAAAGCGGAAGAAATATAACAGACATCAACACCAGGTAATATGCGTCAACTGTTAAGGAGACAGACAGGTCGTAAAAAAGCTGGAATGCTAGGCGGTGCAACTTATAAAGCACTTGACCTAGCCATCAGTTGTCCGTTGTCCAATTACAGTCTGCAAGGAATGTAAACATTGACACTCTAACCGCAGCCAAGTTTATGAAGGCAGTATTGAGTCTAAAGCAAAATAAAGCAGATGAGCTTTATTGTTTGACACTTAAGAAGTCTTTAGGAATACGTTGGTGATGAGTTATTGATTAGACTACCGACAGTGATAGTTAGTGTTATATGCCGTTCCGGAAATGAATCAATCAATGTATACTGAGCATAATATGGCATTTTTTCATTCGTGTCTGCATTTCTAGTGAAACATAGGGCTGCAAGCTTGAGGTTTCAGTGGCGACAGTGTTGTTTCTACGGGGGGAATTTGCTAGCCAAACGTCCAACCTCCCCTCTTTACCGACTAAGAGTGATTTAGGAGTGTGTCCCCCGGGAGTCGAACGCAGGACAAGTGCGGCGTGAATGGCGGGTATCCATCCTATCATTGAACCAATGACAAAAATATTTAATATTCATAGAATAAAGACGCATTAAATGCCACGATTGTGCACTTGTAGAAGCTGAAAATTACAAAGTATGATCAAAGCGAAAACAGCTTACCATTCGTGGATATGGTATACGCCCATAAGAATAGATCTCCCATAAAAGGATACCAAAACTCCAAACATCTGATTTGGTTGTAAACAACTTTAAAAAAAATAAACAAAATAATCAATAAGAGAAGAAATTATGTTGAGAAGAATGAAGAGGAAAACAAGTCAAATTACCCATGTGTTATTATAGATGAAAGCGAATTTAAGTACAGCTGTACACTAATAACCTCGATTTACTTCCTCCTCACTTTCCCTCCAAAACCACCTACAAGATTTCTCAATGGTTTTCAAGACCATCCACGAATTGACTTCATTTAGAGAACCACTGAACACTACGAAGAAGTACAGGACAGCTGCTGCTGGGACAACTGGGACTCTACATCAGTAAGCACCCACCGAAGTTTGAGCCGAGGAGCTCGTTGACTACTCAGCCACTGAAATACAACCCAATGATCCATGAATTCTGTATAAGTAGTAGTGTTTGTTGTTTACTGTTTATCAATCGCCAGAGTCTTCTCGGAATTGTGACTCTCTAATCGTGTTTTCCCTTCAGTGGCTTTTCCAATGACTAAATAATCACCCCACCATATATGCTACTTATATCCTACTTATTAGTACCACACATTATAGTACGTTAGTCGTCATAACGAAGTAATCAATAACACATGATCAGATATTTACAGTAAAAAATATATAATTTTAGGGATTACAGAATACATTTTCAGATATATATATATATATATATATATATATACATGCAGTTAATATATTCGGCTTAAAATACAACTTTGATATCTCCAAGTATTGGTTTTGTAGGGATTTTGTTTGATTGCATGGAGGATTTAATCATGAGCTGACATCAGTTAGAGAACCACTGGAAAACCTAGGAGTACTGAACAGCTGTTTCGTCCACCAAACACAGTAAGGAATGGCAGTTAAATTTCTGAATCAACTCTATCGAATTTGAAAAGGCATTCGATAGCGTAAATCTTAAAGTAATTCGGAAACTGTTTCAACAATACGGAGTGCACTATCTCAAAACCTCAATCAACGGCGCTATATGAAGACGTCACATTTCAAGTGATTGGCGAAAAAAAGCTCAGGGAAACCTTCGAAGTGAAGACAGGAGTTAAACAAATCCGTCAATGACTAACAACAGACTGGATCATGCGGCAAACTGTCAGGAAGAGAGAGAACGCGCATATTTTGAACCGATCAGTGTCAGTGATTCAGAGGTAGAACGAACGCTAACCACGCACGTGGTCTGAGTTTCGATTCTCGGCCAACGTACTCCTCAACTTCGTTAAGCTGGTAGTAAACCCGGTAAGGAGGGAAGGTTTGATGTGAGGCTAGCAACCTCCCCCCGTAAAAGTAAAACCACTACTCGTGAAACTTTAAAGTACTGACCATTTATTCATTATTGTGTGTGTGCGTGTGTGTGGAAGTCACTGAGGGTGTACAAAATCGACTTCACTGGTTAATAACCAGTCAACCAAAAAAAGTTTAGTGAATGTGTTGATGTTAAAATAGTCGTTGGAATCAATTCCACTATCAACAGGAAACATCCAGCAGTGAATCCATCAGCTTTCGCGCACAACGATAATGAGCTGAATGGATGAAGCAGTTGCTTTTTGTCGCTAAAAGTCCTACTTTTCACAGTGTTAACAAGCACATGCTGATTAAGTTTTCATGCAGTAAAGTTAAGCTGCCGGTCATTAGGTGCCTAGATAGTGACTCAGTGAAGCTCTTTACAGGAACAGTGAGTAGCGTCAAATATATATATATATATATATATATATATATATATATATATATATATATATATATATATATATATATATATATACGGTTCAGGGATTTGGCGCATCACCAAAAGCATTTCCAACGGGCTATTGCAAACACTTGTCAACAGATGCCCTCCTTGGCTCTATACTGAAGATCAGATGGCCGACCGGAAAGAAAAAGCAAAAAGGTTTCCTGGTGAACAACGAACCAAACAAACTATTGACTAAAAGATATGCCGAAGGAAATGGAGATGGATAGGATAGACACACTGAGGAGATCATTGAGTGACATCCCGTGACAGGCAATTAATTGGGTAGAACCCGGATGGAAAATAAGGAGTTGGACGTCGCTTCGAGGGTGACATGAAGAAGATCGTGTTAGAAGGAGATGAAAGCTTATGGTAAGTCGTGGAGTCAGCTGGTAAGGACTGCATAAAACAGGATGAAATGGAGATGTTCAGTTGAAGTCCTACATTCCACTTGGAAAGTAATGTAATAATAACAAGTCCTTAAGGTGGGGCACTTTGGCCTATCAAGAAGCATTTGTATGATGACTAAGAAGTTAATACAATGTACAACAAAAATAATTATGAATCAAAAGAGGCGCATAACATCCTTACTCTATCCCGTATAGCTTCCGGAGCTGTCCATTTCAAAGGAATCGCTGCATTATCATGTAGTGCCATTGCATTTAACGATGTCGGTGGTGGTGATGTATTTGTCTCAAAAGGCTGGTGCTGCTGACGACGACTATTATCCTGAGAGTGGTGATGTTGTACGGTGGTGGTAGTGGGATATTTTTCCACTGAATCTCCTGCTACATGTGGTGAACTCCTGATAATCAGTGTTGGTGTATTAGCTGACTTTGGTTGATGTGATATAGCACCGATAGTTGATAAATCGTGCAGATCTCTAGCCATACCGAAGTCAGCTACTTTAGCAATTAAATTTGGCGCCTGTCCAGATAACAGAATATTCCGAGCAGCAATATCACGATGAATGAAATCACGTTCTTCAAGATAAACCAGACCACGACAAACATCACTAGAAGAAAGTAATTTTAAAAAATTGGGAACATTCGTATAACTGACTGAGTGAGATTAAACATAGAACTTTGTATAGAAATGCATCACTTCAAGTTGCCACACTGCATACAGCACACAAAGGTAGAGAAATGGGACAGACTCAAAACACCTATAAATAAACAGATATGTACAGGAGAAAACATAGTAACATGGAAAAACATGGTGATTTAATGAAGATGGGAGGTCGTAAAGAGTGAATGCACGTGGGCCACTGAGAATGATTCTGAGCCAGGTCCTATTAAGCCAAAAAGGTTGTTTGGATAGTTGTTAAACTAAAGGCAGGTGCCACTACAGTGCAAGTCGTTTATATTATGTTGGGGGGGTGGGGGGTGGCGAAGTTGTACCGATGAAGAATAAAGATGTAACTAACAGCAGTATGGTGTTTCCCTAAAATGATCAGCTAGCCGGCTATACTGCATCTCCACTCTGGAGGCTGGGGAAGAAATAAAAAAGAGTGACCCCGAAATTTGTACATATCAACTTACCTCGTAACCATTCGTAGCTGGCGATAAAACCTTAATACGGAAAATCCTTCAAACAGACCATGTGTGACTACCAGTCAGTTTCCAGTAGTAGTCCGCTGTGCTCTGCATTTACGTAACTCATGAAAAAAATTACCAGTAGGTAAATAATCCTAATGACGAAGGTAAGACTATAAACTACAACCGATAATCAACTTACGCATTTATCACTGCACAGTAGATAAAAGGCCTATCTTTCTGCAGCTTGCATTCAAAGGTGATGATACTGCTAGTAGAATAAGATGCAGACTGAACGCTGCCATGAAGAGAACATATCCAGCCGCCAAGCTGGTATGTGTTTACCAAACAACTAGTCGTTTGAGACAATCAAAAGTGGACAAATACCCACCTCATGTTACCTCCGACTATGTCTACCAATTTACATGTACGTGCCAAAGCACATACATTGGAAGAACAGAGAGAAGAGTTAGTGTCCGCATCTATGAACACATACCAAAGAACTTGAGACTGAAAGGTCCACAAGCAATAAACAGTGCTATTGCTCGTCATTTATTGGACACTGGACATATTGTAGACAACCTGAAGTCATTTAAAGTAATCAACAAGCAAAAGAAACCTAGATTGCTACGCTTTGTTGAAGCAGTTGCCATTAAACGACTTAAACCCAATCTATGTATGCAGAAAGAGACAGTGGTGAATCTTGCACTGCCCTGGTGACAACCAAAAATATTCAACCTTCATGAGTCACCCTTTTTCTTGTTTAGAAAACTCTACTCTCTCATCTAAACATGACTCACCCTATCTTGTTTCTTTTCTTTCCTTTTTTCTATTGGCTAGTTACGCAATCTACTTTTTTGTTATGCTCTTTCTAGCTAAACCTTGTTTCTACATATATATATATATATATATATATATATATATATACAACCCTGTTTTTTGTTTCGAAGCCTAATTGTCTAATTATTCTATAAATAGTCAGTGTTTGTAACTCCTAATCAGTTAAATCATTCCGGACTAATGTTACTGTTAATTCCTACCAATTACTCCTTATGATCGTGAAAACGTATGCTCATATCTTTAATGTAATTCATATTTTTTAACGTCCAGGTTGTAACCAGTTGAGAAGAATTCTCGAAATAATAAAAGATGAACTCGTATTATCCTGGTACAATTGTCGTTCTTGCTTTGTTCATGTTTTAAATGTGTTTCATCAACTTCCTAACGCAGCTGGTATTTTTACTGTGTTATGCATGCAAATATCTTCAGCGATGGCCTTCACTCTTAAAGTAGAATTTTGTATAATTTAATTGACAGAGAATAAATAAACAAAACAAAAAACGGTTCAGTATTTTGACAATTATAATAAGTGGTGAATAGATTTCGTTCGAATCATTTCTCTGAGTATCTTCTTCAATAACTGACTGATTGAAAACATGTATTTCCCGATACGAATTTAAAACAAGCAATAAAGGTTAATAAAGCAGGATGACTTAATGAGTTCATCAAATTTCGTTAGAACTCGTCAGCTGAATACTCTACATACACGGATATATATACTTTGGAAATTACATTGGGAGATATAAGACTGATAAGTAAACAAACTACATTGAATTAGTCATGCAGAAAGACAGGTGCGAATGTTTTCCAGGTCATGTTCAAATAGATAAGGGGAGAGAGAGTATGAGAGATCAAAATTAAGATAAATTGCATTGCGCTTCGATTACATCACTTAGATAAACAACTGGTCATTAGGGAATATAACGAGAATTGCAAACAGACTAATATCAATACTAATAGTTATAATAACAATTTTAATAGTGTTGAAGTGAGTTAAGATAATCTTGCTGATGAAACATAGTTTTAAATGAATGGAGAATAACAATAATAACGATAGTAATAATAACAATAATAATAATAAGAAGAGGTAGAATAATAGTAATAACAAGTAGAGAATAATAAGTAAAGCGTATTACCATGGTAGATTGAGAGTGACGACCATCTCCTTTTGTATACAGAGGGCTGGTTTGTAAATTCGAATTGCACAAGCCTCTGCAATCTCAAGCATCTTCTTGTTTCTTTGTTTGCTGACAATGGTGAATGACTCGACCGGACATGATATCGACGAGGTCAAGTCATTCACCATTGTCAGCAAACAAAGAAACAAGAAGATGCTTGAGATTGCAGAGGCTTGTACAATTCGAATTTACAAACCAGCCCTCTGTATACAAAAGGAGATGGTCGTCACTCTCAATCTACCATGGTAATACGCTTTACTTATTATTCTCTACTTGTTATTACTATTATTCTACCTCTTCTTATTATTATTATTGTTATTATTACTATCGTTATTATTGTTATTCTCCATTCATTTAAAACTATGTTTCATCAGCAAGATTATCTTAACTCACTTCAACACTATTAACATTGTTATTATAACTATTAGTATTGATATTAGTCTGTTTGCAATTCTCGTTATATTCCCTAATGACCAATTGTTTATGTAAGTGATGTCTGTCTGTTTTCGACATAGAACTTTGCACAAATGTGCGGAAGTTCAAGTCGCCACATTCCGTGTAGCACGCGAAGCAAGAGAAGAAAGTACAAGAAAAGCATAATAGAAACAGTGAGCAGAGGTGTGAGACAAAGGAGTAATAAAGAAATACAAAACAGTTTCATTGAAGATCATAAGTCACAGGGAGTGGATGCATCTGCGCCACTGAGAACGATTTTGAGCCATGTCACCAATTGTTTCCAACCATAGATTTTTACCGTCCCGAGGACCCCAGCCTGGAAGTCTACACCTTCCTACGTGGCTTAGACCAACTGTTGTGGATTTCATTGACTGATGCCAAGTTTTTGTTTGACCGCCGCTAGCTTTTTTCCAGCCTGACCCTATATCCGCTAACATTGCTCGTCGAGGGAGGCGATGACTTGGCATACGTAACACATGTCCTAACCATCTCAGTCTTTGTAGCTTCACGACTTCGTCGATTGATTTCCCCTGTTTACCTAGAACTCTACGCCTAACCTCCATGTTGCTCACCTTATTATGCCACTTTACACGGGAAATAGAACGCAGGCACCTATGATCAAAGACAGCTAGTCTTTTCATGTCTTCCACTCTCAGTGGCCAGGTCTCACAACCATAAAGGAGGACGGAGCGGACTGATGAGCAGTACACCCGCCCTTTGGTCGATAGTCGAACATCTCGTCTACGCCAGAGTCGGCGTAAACTAACAAATGCGAAACGAGCCCCTTGTATTCGTGCTGAGATTTCGTCAGAGATCAGCCCGTTGGGGCTGATGGTACTTCCCAAATAAGTGAAGCGGTCAACGTGCTCTACCACTTCACTTCCTATTTTTAAACTAGGCGTCGATGTAGTCCAGTCCTGTAACATCATCTTGCATTTGGCGGGAGCGAATCGCATGCCAAACATTCGTAGATTGCGGCTCAAGGTGTTTAGAAGACTCTGCATTTCGTCAGCGTCTTCGCCTAGAAGGACTATATCGTCTGCATATTCCAAGTCAACGAGATTATTCCCCGGTAGCAAGTCAATCCCTGAGTCGCTGAAGTCACCTAGGGTTAAGTCCATTAACACATCTATGATGAAGTTGAATAGAAAAGGAGATAATGGGCATCCTTGACGGACACCACTGGTCGTCATCAGTTCAGATGACAGCTCGCCGTAAGCCCTCACCTGGCTGTATGAGTACGAGTAGAGTGCCTTAATCAGTGCAATATATTTTCTTGGAATTCCCTTTACAGCCAAGCATCTCCAGAGAACTTCCCGATCGACAGAGTCGAATGCTGCCTTTAGGTCAAGAAATATAATGACTGTTGGACGCCGGTAGGAATGCCTATGTTCTAGAATCTGTCGGAGGGTGAAGATATGATCAATACACCCTCTTCCTGGTCTAAAGCCTGCCTGGCTCTCTCGTGTTTGTGCTTCCCGAGCACCACTCAGTCTACGCATGATTATTGAGCCTAAGACTTTAGATACTATATTAGTCAAGCTAATCCCTCTGTGATTATCACAGGAAGACTTGTCTCCCTTCTTGTATATGGGGATAATCAGTGACTTACACCAACCCGATGGGACTTCTTCTGATTCCCAGACGCTGCCTAGTACCTCAGTTAATCCGGACAGTAAGCTGTCTCCACCGTACTTAAATACCTCTGGAGTCATTCCATCAGGTCCCGCTGCTTTGCCTAGTTTCAGATTGGTGACAGCTTTAGTAACCTCAGTTAGTGACGGAGGACCTGTGTTTATATCCCATTCAGGGAGGTGTTGGATGCTCGGAAGGTTGAGCGTGGCTGTGGGCAAATTAAACTGCTCCTCATAATGCTCTTTCCAACGATCCAGTCGTCTATCCTGGGAGCTAATTATAGTGCCATTTTTTTCCGAGATTGTCTCACTAATGATTTGTCTTCTCCCACCCGTTTCCCTGATGAGTCCAAAGAGTTGCCTGGTGTTGCCTATCCTCAAGCTTTCTCCATCTCTTTGGCTTTTGTCGCCCACCACTGTTCACGGTCCTTGCGGAGACTTTTCGTAAGTTTCCTCTTGTGCAGCTTTCGCTCCTCATTGAATTCGGAGCTCGCCGGAATAAGTCTTCTAGCATCTATCAGTTCGGATGAGGCGGTGGAGATCCAGTGGTTTTTACTCACCTTTGGGTTTACCTTATTCACAGCTTTTACAGCTGTATCTATGGCTGCCTGGATATTTTTCCAAGCTTCTTCAGGGTGAGCACAGCTGTCGAACACAGATATGTGTTTAGCTAGTTCTTCCTCAAATACGGATTTAGTTTCCTGATCGAGCTGGGGACGTGATGGTTTTACCGCCAGCTGTTTCCTACGTCCGTTCAGTCGTAAGCACACCCGAGCGCGGACCAGTGCATGGTCGGTATCTACGCACGTGTTCCAGAAGGAGCGACAATCTCCTACCGACCCACGCCAACGATAGCTTATTGCTATGTGGTCTATTTGTGTCCAGCGTTGGTTTGATGAAGGGGGTCTCCAAGTCAAACAGTGTCTCTCCTTGTGTTTGAAGTTAGTGCTTACAAGAAACAAATGATTATCAGAGCAGAACTGTAGGAGACGGTCACCGTTGTCGGTTCGCTGGCACGGAACTCCATAGGTGCCACCGACATCCTTCTCAGATTGACACAATTTCCCTACTTGAGCGTTAAAGTCACCAGCTAGAACGACTATGTCTGAGCGTTTAGCCTTTCCACCAAACTAGACAGCTTTTGGTAGAACTCATCCTTCGTTTCATCTGAACTGCAGTCAGTGGGGGCGTAGGCGGAGATTACGAAAAGGCATCGGCGAGTAGTGCAGTCCTTCCTCCTTCTTACTGATCCGTTCAGGCGGACAGCACACATTCGGCTATCTACCGGGATCCAGTCAAGCAATGTCTTTTCTGCCCTAGTACTCAAAGCTATCCCTACGCCAGCTAATCCTCGTGAACTAGCTGTGGCATCTCCTGACACCCTCAGGTGAATTTTGCAGATTCAACCTGTTGGCCAGGTGGGGTTAGGTGAATAACCACACTTGGGTCTTGTATGCGTGTTTCTGAAACACAGCATACATCAATGGCTCGTGATGCCAGGGTCTTGGCTAGTGATGCTTGTTGTCCTATTTGGCAAAGTGTCCTAACATTAAGAGCTCCTATATGAAATTGGTGGCGCGGCTTTAAGAGGCTGTCAGTGGTGGTTTTTTGGCTTAATGGTATACGAGCTCGCTTTGTAACCGGAAGGTCCTGGGTTCGAATCCCGGTGGGTGCCTACTGATGAAGAGTCCTAAACTAGGACGAAACAGCTATCCAGTACTCCCAGGTTTTCCTATGGTTCTTTAACTAATGTCAGCTCATGATGAAATCCTGAAACCAATCAAATCCCTACAAACCAACACTTGAGGACTTCCAATTTCGGTTTGCCAAAGGTCCGAAAAAAGCCATACGCAGCTCAAGACTAGCTCATCTCGTCAATACTGGACATTAAGTCAACTGTAACGAAGCTTCTAAAGTTATTTATTGTATATTATCCAACCTCTCGCCACATGCTCTACGAGTGCGACTTTTGCATACAGCAGAGGCAATCAGAATTCATCTGAACAAGCCAAATCTGTCTGTTCAAAGGAAATTTGTACATCCCCTTTCTTCGCCACGGCCAACTGCATATAATGTGTATTAGGTTTTTGAAAAACAATGTTTTCCCCTCCCCTTGTAACTAACTATCTTTTGACTTTGTTACTTTATTATGTTTACAATTCTAGCCAATTCTATTAATTTGTAATTTGTAATTCTTCTGAGTCATCCTATTCTTCTTAGTCATCATCGCTATTTTACAAATCTAGTGATTATGTAATAACTTGTTAATAACGCCTAAGAACCAACTTGAATTCCGTAATTAATCAGCTTTCACCCGTCTTTTAAAACTTAGATATCTTGTTATTAACATATATTAGTTATTTGTTTTGATGACCTTTAACCTTTTAATTTTAACCCCGCCTATACTTAAAACTGATTAAGTAAAATAACCACTTGATTGGTAAATAATTTTGATTTAAAAAACTATATATTAGTGTAGAGCCAGCCGCTGATGAGGAACTAATTGAAAACGAATATGCATATTTCTTCGCTCAATCTGCTGTTGTTTTTTTGTTAATGCGTAAATGAGAATTCGGAAATTACAGTATATTTACTCAAGGTCAAAAATAACAAAGAAGACTACTAAACCAAATAGCAAAGGTAATAGTACATCTGCTATGGTATCAAAACAAAATTTACCACGGAAGGTTTAATGTGATAACGAATTGTTTTCGCTGAACGCATAAAGGTGGCTTGAACTTTCTAATTGCCAGCTAGGGCTTCCACAAACTTTACAGGATACGCCCAAAACACGTTTTATAGATAGGTTTAAAAGATCTGTTAACATCAATTTTATGTCCTGTTAATGTGTAAAACTTGGGCACTGTGGTATTAAGTAATTCCATATTAGTTTGATTATTAAATGTATCACACAGTGAAACAGTATTGTACAATTTTATGTCCTGTCTCTATAATAACATGTTTCGCAATAGAAGGTTCCATTTAGGAATATGCTCTGAAGCCACCTTCATGCGTTGAAAAACAATTCGTCATCACATTAAACCTTCCTTAGTATATTTACTATTATTTTTATTTTATTTCTTTGAGTTCCAAGTAGAATACAAAGTTTCGAACTTGGACTTTGAATTTTCATTAGCAATGATTTCATTTTTAAGAGGTCGGGTTAGTAACCTCTCGCCGATCCTTTCCTCATCACCGGACTTACTACTGGCTATGCGAAGTTGGTATGAGTGAGTCGGACGGAAATCGAACCCCGGAGCACATGCACGGTCGGCTAGCATTCTACCATCGCACCACCGAAACAAAACATTGCTTATATATATATATATATATGCGAGGAGGAGATGAAAGCATGTGGACAGACCTGGAGCAGGGTGAAAAAGTTGTCAGAAAACCGAAGGCAATGGAGGTGCGCAGCTGAAGCCCTATGTTCCTCTAGGAACTAAAGGATACAATAATAATAATAATAATATATATATATAAGGTTTTGAGGTAGTTGTGTTCTCTGAGCTGGATGGTTAATTTGCGAAGCTTTCATCACCCTACTAGGTGACATCTCCAGCGCATACTTCAATTTGAAGTGAGCTTTTAGATTTCTCCACGAGTTTATTAATCATCTCTCCTAGTGACCTTAGATGTGATTGGTTGTCTTTGTGTATTTTCACACCTTCTAGGTTACTTGTATTGGAACTGATTGTTTCTTTGACTTGAACTTTGACCCTTTGTGTGTGAAGTTTCTTTCTTATCGGTTGATAAATTTTGTCGATCTCTATATGTCTATTGATTGATGATTCAATGGAATGCCAGGCAGGCTTCTAAAAATTCTCTAGCATTCTTGTTGTTCCCACTGTCCAATATTTGAACGTTGTCCCAGTCGAATTGATGTCCGTGGTTGTCCGTATGCAGTGATATGAGGGAGTGGATATCATGTCTTTTGACGGCTAGCTTATGTTCGTGGATACGAAGACGAAGGGGACGTTCACTTTGGCCAATGTAGTGTTTTTCTCAGTTGTTACAATTTATTTTGTAGATGATGTTGGTTTTATCTACTTTCATTGTTGAGTCTTTTGGTTGACATAGAATTGAGTGAATTGACCTTGTTGGTTTGTGTACGACGTCAATTCCTAGAGGTTTGAAGAGTCTTGTAGTGATTTCTGAAATATCCTCTATATGTGGTAAGGCGATTTTCTTTGTGCTTTCCTTGGAGGCTTTTAGTTGATAGGTTGGCTTGTGGGTATATGTCTTTTGATAAGATTCCGTGGATATCCATTCTTTTGGAAGGCGTCCATGAGATATTTTTCTTCAATTTTTCTTAAGGTGGGAGTGCTGCAGTGAGTTCTTGCTCTCATGAATAGTGTTTGTATGCAATTCCATTCGTGTGTTATTGGATTGTTGCTGCTGTAATTCAGAATTTGGTCTGTGTGAGTTGATTTCCTATAAACTTGAGTTTCTAATTCTCCTGCGGTTGTTCGCCTGACTAAGACGTCCAAAAATGGTATTTTGTTCTCGGATTCCTCTTCTCTTGTGAATTTGATGTCATTGAAGACGTTGTCTATTAAGTCGTGAGTTTTATCTAACTCGTTTCTTTTGATTATTACAAATGTGTCGTCGACGTAGCGTATCCAAATCTTGGGTTTGATCTTTGGTAGAATTATGTTTTCGAGTCTTTGTATCACTGCTTCTGCAATCAAAGCTGATATTGGCGATCCCATGGGTGTTCCTTTGACTTGTTCATATATTTGGCCGTTGAATTGGAAGTATGTTGTTAGGCATAGGTTAATGCATTCCATCCAGCTTGTGTGTTGCACTTTTGATTGTTGTGCGAGGGGGTGTTCGTCGTCGCTTAGTAATTGCTCCATGGTTTCTTTTGCTAGTTTTTGTCCGATAGAGGTATATAATGCTGTCACGTCGAAGGATACCATTATTTCTTATTCATCTATTTGGATGCATCTGATTTTTTCTCTGGGAATTGGATCTTGTTTGGTGATCTGTCCAGTTTTGGTGAGCTTGTTTAAGGTCCTTTGGATGCGGTTGTCCAATGTTTGTATGGGATTTGTTGGGAGTTGTTGATATACATCCTCATCTTTGAGTAGTTCTTCAGCTTTCTTGGTGTATTCTTCTCTGTCCATGACTTATATATATATGAGAAAAACAAGAGAACAACACACAAAGAAACAAACAATAATGAAAATCAAACTCACATGCTAAATTTCAATTTTGTCACATCTGTTATTTCATCACGTGTACGAGAGTGCAGATAGGTTAACAGACTTCCATTGGCTAAATATTCTGTGACTAGATAAACAGCATCATCTGGTTCATACACCAAACCAATGAATGAAATTAAATTGGGATGATTTATTTTCCTATTTTGCGTTTATTTTATTATTTTTTTAAATTTATTCATTTATTATCCATTTGAGTTCATTACCATCAATGATTCATAATGGTGGTGGTTAGGCCAACGTCATTGTTGTTTATGATAATCGATATTATCATAATACATATATAAAAAACAAGAGTAAAAAAGGAAAAAAACTATTAAACTATTTCAGTGGGAAACATTACTAATACTCTTTTAAAAAAAGTGGCAAAATCAAAACTCCATACAATTAAATCGTATAAAAGAAAAACATAGTAATTGATATGTATCCACATGATGTGTGTTTTGTTTTTGACAGTCTGTTATATTTTGCTATGTGTATATGGATCGATATTTCATTATAACTGGCATTATGCTTTTGTCTGTCCACCAACTAAACAAACGATGTATAACCTCACACTCTTGTGTGAGTGAAATGGTACGTAGTGTAAGAAACGTGGGAACAAGAATACAGTACAAAAGTATATATGAAAATGGCTAATACACATGAACCAATAAGATAACGTCTTACCATGATTGGTTGTAATGTCATGTGACAACAAGGTCATACATTATAAATTATTTAAATTAATCCCAGCGTGTTAAGAAAATCGAAACAAGATTTTTCTGAACGTTTCGCCGTGTAAGCCACAGCTTCTTCATCAGATTTATTCGGATTATAATTAATCATCAAAATATATAGTCAAAAATTTTTACATAAAATGAAGTCCGAAGTTTTGATTTTCTTAACACGCTGGGATTAATTTAAATAATTTATAATCAATCAATCTGACTCGGCGCTCAAATTATTCCAGGAAATTCGTAACACCTACGGTCGGGAAACCTATAAGGTCATACATGTTTATTTAGTTAGTGAACAGACAGGGAAAAATCGGAGTTTAGTCAACATATATATATATATATATATATATATAGAGAGAGAGAGAGAGAGAGAGAGAACGAATCGATAAGCCCACCGTAGCCTTCTTGAGCACTGTCCAGCATGGTCAGAAAAATGAGTCCTTAAGTTAGTTAGCATTTTCATATTGGCACACCTTGTGGATACGGTGTATAAGTTTGATAAAAATTCCATCTTTACAATGCTATACAATAGCGCCAGCTCAATCCCCAAGGCTTGTAAGCCCAGTGGTACTAAACCATGCGAACTAAAAACCTGTAACTACAAATTCTGGTGAACAATAATTAGACTACAAACTTCACATTTATGAAAGAAAAAGACTAGATATGAGTCATCACAACCAGATGAAAACATATTTCAGCTAAACGACTGGTTATGTTTGAGGTATATTTGGGTTCAGAAACGTTTCATCCAGCCTCTTTCACTACCATGGTTTCAGTAATATTTTTTCTTTTTCTTATATTCTTCATTCTGAATAGCTCTATGTTTCTTGCAATTCATTTTCAATCTTTTGCTCTCTTATCCCATATCAACCATGTCCACACGATTATTTTATCACTCAACTAATTAGGTGCTAACCCTTTTGATTACGTAAGACTATTGCTGGTTTCTGAGGCATAGTTATTACTCACCCACTTTGATTTGGATTGGTAATAACTGACAATGACTTTTGACCTCTGTTGTCAATTTATATCGCATATATAAACACCCTTTGAAGTGAAGTGAAGCGAAAAGAGATAGATCTGTTTGCTGAATCATGGGGTTCTCCTGTCTGTCTCTCTGGATTCAACATAGAACTTGGCACCGAAGTGCAGCAGTTCGAATTCCCACGTTCCACATAGCACACAAAGGTAGACATAGACAGCTTTTGGTAGAACTCATCCTTCGTTTCATCCGAACTGCAGTCAGTGGGGGTGTAGGCGGAGATTACGAAAAGGCATCGGCGAGTAGTGCAGTCCTTTCTCCTTTTTACTGATCCGTTCAGGCGGACAGCACACATTCGGCTATCTACCGGGATCCAGTCAAGTAATGTCTTTTCTGCCCTAGTGCTCAGAGCTATCCCTACACCAGCTAATCCTCGTGAGCTAGCTGTGGCATCTCCTGACACCCTCAAGGTGAATATTGCAGATTCAACCTGTTGGCCAGGTGGGGTTAGGTGAATAACCACACTTGGGTCTTGTATGCGTGTTTCTGAAACACAGCATACATCAATGGCTCGGGATGCCAGGGTCTTGGCTAGTGATGCTTGTTGTCCTATTTGGCAAAGTGTCCTAACATTAAGAGCTCCTATATGAAATTGGTGACGTGGCTCTAGGAGGCTGTCGGTGGTGGTTTTTTGGCTTCCATCGTTTTAGTGGATGCAGAGTGGAGAGCTATCAAGCCGAGGAGTTGCATCAGTGGAAGGAAGGCAAGATGATAGAGATGAAGATGAAGACAAAGATGAGTGAGGATTAGAGAGGTTTCGCGTGCGTTTCGGATTGTGATGGCGATTGTTACTTCCCGGCTGCCCACACCGTGGAAGTTGGTTGCGTGACCGCAGAGCCCAGGGCACAATTGTTTGAGGCCGGTCACACGCGGCCTGTTTTTCTTGGTTCTTTACTGTTTTGTGTGCCTCAGTAGCATATTTATCACTCCTGCCCTGTGACACGGCAGCAGGAAGCGCGGTCGTTGTTAATCCGGGCCCCGGTATGATATTTTGTGAATTTCTTTGAATCATAGTATTAGATTGGGTAGCTGCTTTTTGTCTAACCGCTATCCAGACAACCTTTCTGGCATGGTAGGACCTCAAGAGACATAAGTCTCAGCCAGTATAGCTCGATTAGGTCACTGCGGTGTTCAAGCCCGTCCAACACGTCAAGGTTGCAGCTTTCGGTCGGGCATGGCGTTCTTAATTCAAGTATAACTGTCTGTTTAATATAATAAATAGTAGATAAACAGAAATCATATACACTCAGTCTATCCGAGTATTGATTGACTCAGATGTGAACACATTACACTGGTGCATAAAATCAGAATACTGAAACTTGTTTTGGTGCAACACACGACATAAATTAAATTAGATCACTTACCATTTATATACATATTGGTACTCTCGACTAATAACAAAATGGCATCCAAAAAAATTATAATAAACGTTTGTAGTGAAAGTAAGAAATAAACCTATGGAAAGCCTTGAGTACACAGATTTCGCATCTATAGATTATTCATCAGCAAGACATCTCTATAAATAAGTTTACAAAAATTCATCTTCCCTTAAAGGTTCGAGTACACAAATCACTCAAGTTCTGGAGTGAAAAGCTTTACCACCAATAGGTAATTCAGGTCTTCGATTTTAAATATAAGGACAGGTTCAGTGACCTTAAGATAATTACAGTTTCCAGAATACCAAGCCTTTATGTTACATGACATATAACAAGCAATATATATATATATATATATATATATATATCAGTGAACACATTAAATGTGTACGATCGGTAATTTCTCTTCAGTGTTTACAATTGAATAATAAAATTGTTTTGATATTCAAGTGTTGGTTTGTAGGGATTTGATTGGTTTCAGGATTTCATCATGAGCTGACATTGGTTAGAGAACCATTGGGAAACCCGGGGTTCCAGTGGGAAGTCGTGACCAGTAGGGTGCGGCGGGTCGGGTGTGAGGGCAAATACTCGCCGAAGATATTGGCTAGCTGTCGCGCTATGTCGTGAATTGGCAGAAGTTAGAATTCAAGGACCATTGGATCGGATCCCAGTGGCTCAATGATATACGAACTCGCCTTGTAACCGGAAGGTCCTGGGTTCGAATCCTGGTGGTGGGTGCGTAGTGCTGAAGAGTCCCAAACTACGATGAAACAGCTGCCCAGTACTCCCAGGTTTTCCAATGGTTCTCTAACCAATGTCAGCTCATGATGAAATCCTGAAAATTGTTTTGACGTAGATGTTTGATGCACTTGTAGTCAATACAGCTCCACTGAAGTATACTAATTAGTGAATGATAGCAAAGGTGATCATGATAATAATAACAATATAATGACGAGATAAAGCAAGTGCTTACATAATCTAAGTATTCAATCACTGCAGATGCGCAGGGAGATTGTGTATGTATGTATGTATGTGTGTGTGTGTGTGTGAAGGGATAGAGGAGTAAAATAACCGCTTTAGCAATTAAGTAATAAATTTCATAATGATAACAAGGGTAGTAGTAGAAATATAAGTGTTATTTACAGATATCTACGACTGGCGGCCTGCTTAGATCTTGGGCTACCTACCAAAACTCCATCAATCATTATATTGCATCTAGTTTCTCGTGTTCAAATTGTTTCAAAAGCCACCAACCTGTTAAAATATTACCTCCAGTTGCATTGTTTACACTCGCGAATATTTAATATGCTTAAGGCCTGTGGAATTTCAAATTTCCAAAAAAAAAACTAAGAAAAAGCATCATCGGCAGTACGCACCCACTGAGATTCGAACCCAGGACATTCCGGTTACAAGACCAGTAAGCTCGTATACCATTCAGCCACTGGGACCCGACTCAATGATTCATGAATTCTAACTTCTACCAATTGGTGATTTAGCGCGACCCCAACCATTGTCGTCGGTGGGACATCCATCCACACACGTGACATCTAATTGGGCCTCACTGGTCACGACTTCTCACTAGAACTCAGGAAACTCCAACCAAATTGGTAGAAGTTAGAATTCATGAGCCATTGAATCGGGTCCCAGTGGCTGAATAGTATACGAGCTTGCCTTTTAACCGGAAGGTCCTGGGTTCGAATCCCAGTGGGTGCTTACTGCCGATGATTCCCAAACTAGGATGAAACAGCAGCTGTGCAGTACTCCCTGGTTTTCAATGGTTCTCTAACTGCTATCAATCCGTGATCAACTCGTAAAAACATAACTAACCCTTACAAACCAAACTATAGAAAAAGCATCATGTGGGGTGGTAACGTGCTTCAAAACCTATTCATCATATACATCAAGTGACTGTTCCAGAAACTTATGAGCACAAACTGTCGTTTCCCGTGCTTTCCAGTGTATTTCGCGATGCAGGTATAATAACTCTTCAAGAAACCTGTCCTC